GTAATTTTTGGTGCATACGACAAAGGGGGTAAATAAGTAGGTGGGATAGCACGCACTGACCTGATGAGGGCTGCCTCGGCTTCCTCCTGGAGTGTGAGCTATACAAAGGGCCCGCCACGTGGTTCGGCGCACATGCACTTCCGGAACAGTTTCGTGAATTACCACACTCTCGATGTTTGCACTCACGGGGGCGTCTCACACTTTTATGAGTTACAAAGACACAATGTCTGATGCGGTGAGTATTAAACATAAACAGGAGAACTCAATGTTTGTCCTGCGCGGTTTTGCGGTTAATATATCTACGACGCGACGGCTTGCCTTGCGATCGGGGAGAACATAGAAATGTCACTTAATGACGCGCAACGAGATCCTTTTTCTTCACCTCGGGGGTAGCGCGTGCGATAGGAAAAGGGAGGGTAAAGGAGTCAAATATATGCACTAGTCATTTCATTACGTTGATAAACTAGATTGTTAACTGGCTTTACCATTTCCTCCCGCCCTTAAAGGGTCACCTTTAAAAAATAACCGTAACATAAAACAAATAGTTTTATTTATTGTTTTGGGAGAGGGCAGATACGAACAGGACGGAGGTATGTTCCCTTAGTAATTCTCATGGTCACTACCCGAACTACGCCATCCTTCGAAGGATGAACAGACTCGACAATTGCTAATAGCCAAGCAAGGGGCGGTTCATTATCATTTATCACAATTACAACCGTGCCTGGTGCGATAGCCGTAGACGGGGTGTTCCACTTCTGACGAACTTTTAATCCGTGAAGGTATTCCATCCTCCACCGATCCGAAAACGTCTGAACTAATTTATCGAGTAAAGAATGCCTGTGTAACAGACTGGTAGAGTCAGATTTGACTTCGGGTGCGGGTAATGACAATAAAGGTGCGGTATTCAAAAAATGACTCGAGTAAGAGCTGAAGGCTCTGCGGGATCAGAACTTAATACTGTCAAGGGCCGCGAGTTTAGCAAGCACTCAATTTGCGCAAGAACAGTATTAAGCTCTTCGTTTGAAAGTAACTGATGTCCAATAACTCGGAACAGATGCGTTTTTACGACCTTCACCATACTCTCCCAGGCGCCTCCAAAATGAGGAGAGTTGGGACAGATGAACTTCCATATTATACGATTCTCAGCACACTCTTGCTCAAGTTTTGGGCGGTATTCAACGTTTAGAAATTTATAAAGATCGCGAACGTACGAAGTGGCACCTAGGAAACGTTTAAGCGCGGCGAAGAAACTAGAACTACTAAGATCTGTAGCGATTTCTATATGCACAGCTCGAGTCGTGAGGCATGTGAAAACGCGTAAGTACGCCTTCTCGCTGCGTACACCACGACGACATACAGGAGTGTATGCGATAGGACCGGCATAATCGCAGCCCGTGTGTGTAAATGCCATAATAGCTTGTCTTACACGACTATGGGGAAAATCAGTCATCAAAGGGTAAGTTGGACGGGGTCTAAGCCGGAAACATATATTACACTGGACTCTACTTCTCACAGTGCGGCGTGCGGAAATGATCCAAAATTTTTGACGGAGCAATGAAAATAACAATTCAGGCCCAGCGTGTAAATTTTTAATATGATAATAGTCAGTGATCATGTTCACTACATGATCACTGCGCGGGAGTATAATTGGATGTTTTTGCGTGTAATCTAATGCGGAGTTCGAAAGACAACTACCAATGCGGATAAAACCATTTTCAATAAAAGGCCTTAAACGATTGAAAGCGGGTGAGCAATGTTTGTTACCTTCAATATTTAAAATAAATATTCCACTTCAAAATGTTGTTTTTGCAGGGCGCGGAGCATTATAACCTCAGAGAAACTGAGATCATCAGCAGTCACTACAGTAGTACTGCGGCGGGTCAATAATTAAGCAAACTTACACACGTACTTAATTATACGTAGAAGTTTACTCCAAGAAGAGATGCGGAGTGCGAGCTCATAAATCGCAGAATTACATACGGATGTGCACACAGTGTGCGACAAAACCTTCTTCTTAGGCATGTCTGCAATAACCTCATTGTCTAAAGTACGAATAGGCCATTGAGATAGATCTAATGAGGTCCACTGAGGCCCATGGAGCCACAGCTGGTTTGAAACTAATTTATTTGGCGCAACTCCGCGTGAAAGTATGTCAGCGGGATTCTCAGTACCTGCGACATGATAAAAGTTATCAGCGCGAATATTGTCGGTAATCTGAACAACGCGGTTGCAACAAAGGTCTGCCACTTGTGTGGTGAACTCTTTATCCAGTACAGAGCTAATTTTTAATCTACAAAGGCAGAGACAGATATTGCAAGGTCAAGAATTTTGAGAGTAAAACCGCTCCACAATGCTCAAGGCGTGCAATAGATAGTGGCTTTGTCGGCGTGACTTTAGTCTTTGCACAAATCAACTGGACGGTGTTACCATTGACGCTCTTTACGTGTATGTAAACTACAGCACCGTATGCGTGCTCGCTAGCGTCGGAAAACCCCAGGAGTGACGCAGTACAGTTTTTGGATACACCGACATGTCGCGGGATACGTAAATAATTAGGAGCTGGTAATTTAGCACAGAATTGCCTCCACATATTAGTAATTGGCGGTGGTGGTATCTCGTCCCAATCTAAATTAAGTTGCCAAAGCTGCTTTATTAGCAACTTAACGTACGCGACTGTGGAAGCAACGAAACCCATTATGTCCCACAGGCGGGCGACAGTAGATAAGATGGCGCGCTTAGTGCACGTCACATCAGCGGGAACAGATATCTTAAAATAAAAGGCGTCACTATCGGTAGACCAATGCAAGCCTAGTATTTTATGTGACATAGATTTATCGAACTCTACTTCTCCTGTAATTTTATGGGAAGTAGGGAGGTCATCTAAAACAGATCGACGGTTGCTATGCCATTTACATTTTTGTGTATTAGTACTTTGTGAATTAGAATGCGAATATTGTAAATAAAGCCTATTTATCCTACCGCAAAGAGACTCAAACACAATAAGGCTGTTGTAGTCAGGCTTAGCGATAGGATTTATTTTTAATAAATGTGAATTATAATTATCTAAGACCTGTTTAAACTCAATGCGTAAAGCATTAATATTAGAGCTTCCATCAAGAAAAACGCTCCATCGTGGAAGTGTTCGTGTACGAGGACATATATATATTTTGCACTTTTTCAAATAAAGCATCTCGTTTAGCTAATAATAAAACCAACTCAGCATCGGGTGTGCCCTCATTATCCGAGGAATCGCTATTATTCGATGCTATTTTTTTTTTGGGCGGCATTATAGCTAAAGTTACACGGCAATAATATAATTATAAGCGGATAGTCTATAATAATGTACGCGACCTTGTTACGTGGTTGAATTGTTAAATATTAGTTTTGTTAACGAAGAGCTTTAATTGTTAACTTTTATAGTAATTATGAAGTTATTTATAACGAATGTAATGCTTATATATATGCAAATAATAAAGGTAATTTATCTGTATAGTCTATCGATGTAGTTAAAAGTTGATGACGTGATGTGAACATACAACAAAATAATTTAAATATATATAATTATATGCTTATTCATTATATGATTATAGTTTTAAAATTACTATAGATGTCACCTCTTAGGACCTATTTTAGTGTTATTATGAGGGCGGGGTTAATCTGAAGTCGGATGGAAATATAAATAATTAATTATATAAACGCTTATTAGGGTCTATCTTAACGATCTAATAAGGGCGGAAGGTCAAGGTCAATCCTGCATGAAGGACCATTAAAATGGAGACGCCAGTAACTTAAGGTATCTTTGTTAAATATTTAGTGGACTGTAATTTTTGGTGCATACGACAAGGGGGCAAATAAGTAGGTGGGATAGCACGCACTGACCTGATGAGGGCTGCCTCGACTACCTCCTGGAGTGTCAGCTATACAGAGGGCCCGCCACGTGGTTCGGCGCACACGCACTGCCGGAACAATTTCGTGAATTACCACACTCTCGACGTTTGCACTCACGGGGGCGTCTCACACTTTTATGAGTTACAAAGACACAATGTCTGATGCGGTGAGTATTAAACATAAACAGAAGAACTCAATGTTGGTACTGCGCGGTTTTGCGGTTAATATGTCTACGACGCGACGGCAAAAGTAAATATTTTTGTTGAAACATTCAAATTACTGGTTTTTTTGTATTTTTGTAAGAATATTAGTAGTAGACATATTATTAGAAAAAAATATTTAAAATTTGCTAAAATTGGGCGTCCCTTGCAATATTAAATAAAGGAGAATAATGAAAATAAAACTAGTTAATTATTTAAAAGCAAGTTTGTATTTATGTCAAAAATTATGAACATGTTTCTCCAGTCACATTGTTGAAACTTACTTAATTGAAGCAAAGAAGACAGTGAAGGGTCCGCACGGATCTCAACATACCAGTCACGTATGTTAAATTTTGACCAGTTATAGGATGAAAAAATCTCAAAAAATCAGAATACAAAAAACTGTTTTTCAACATTTTTTTTTCATTGATTTATCGTCGCATCTATCAGAGAGTTAACTGTGTGTGTGTGTTCTGTGATCGTAATTTACTAGTTCATAATTTAAGTGTTTCTTTTTGGAAGTATTTTGCGTTTTTCATACAATATAGACAAACAACTTGTTTTCTTAAGTTTTGCTGTGACTTATTCAAGGCAAGTTAAAGCAATATTAGCACAATATTACAACAGATATCAACAATATTAAGAAAAGAGCGAGGGTAAAAGTCATCGACCCGGTAGGTGGCATCTTCACGGTTACGCGCTATATTTAACCGTGATTGTCGTGTGCATTTTCATAGTATTATCGCTGACAAATGCGCTACTAACACCACAAAATTGTATTTCTTCCGGGTCCGTAAATGAAAGCACCATAATGAAGTCCGCTGGTCGATTGAAGCCTATTAGAGACAGTGTCGCTATTAGTAAATGTACCTCCACTGCATGTAAAAAAAACTTTTTGCTCAGTTTGTATAAATGCTCCAATACTCACTGCTGAGCGGAAGATTTGGAAATGTCCCGAATGCAGTGCCGCGAAAAAAAGGTGGGGATCACAGTCTTACTCCAATTCGAGTTAGTTCTGAAAATGTTACCACACGTAAAAAGCAGGACTCTGTGGGGTCTGAAATGATCCAACTCACTGAACAGCTGCGCCTCCTTACCAGTGAATTGTGCTCCGTTAAAACGAAATTAAATTACCTGACTCAATCAATTTCTAATACAAACGAGCGAATGGACGATATTATGTATATTATCGCAATCACTAATGAGAAAATAAAATACTTAGAAAAACTTGATGAAGACGTCCAAAATTTGCAGGTTACAGTGTCACAACTGCAAAATGAACTAAAAATACAAGCTCAATAGAATATGAGAAATGAAGTAGAAATTGTAGGAATTCCTGAAAACTTGGGTGAAAATTGAATCATACCATACTCATAGCAGCAACGAAACTGGGAGTTGAACTAGAAGATAAAGATTTAGATTGGGTAACTCGTGTGGGCCTACGCCGACCACCAAAAACCGAAAAGCGAGTGACTCGCTAGTTTGGTGGGGAGCGGTTGTGTCGGCGTGTATAAATAGCAGCTGTTTCGGCTCTCCGCTCACTTAGCGGTCAGCTGCCGTAGAGTCTACATTATCTGAGGATGCCTCGAATAGAGGTGAAACACGTGTCGTATTATCGTCGATGGTATGTCTTACCTGGAATAGTGGTGTTGGAAGTACTGCTGCCGAGAGTAGTGGTGCTGGGACTAGTGGTGACATGTAATTGAGGGAGGGTGGGAGGTGCTCTTTAATCCAGGTAAAACACATCATTGTATGTAGTTAGCGGAAAGTTGCAAAGTAATTAATTTTTATTGTAATGGATTTCCGCAAAGTAACGCCTGATTCTATCAATTATCGAAAACCGTTGCTCTACAAGAAGGTAGCGGCAATATGCCGCGGCCAGTGGTCGTTAAATTTCTGTGTCGATCTAAACGGGATCAAATCCTTAAAGCTGCAAAGTTAAGAAGAAACATAAACAGTTCTGACTGGGAGATAGCTGGTCTAACCCGGAAAGTTTATTTTAATAAAATGCTTACCAAAGAAAACAGAGTGATATTTCGAGACACTAGACATAGGTCCAAGCAACATACGTGGTAGAGCCATGCTGCAGTTATATTAGTAGTATAGTTGTAGCACGAATGGGTCGGCTCGACCGGGGAAGGACCACGCTCTCACAGAATACCAGCGTGAAATAGTAGCTTAATGCTGCTGTATTTCGTATGGTGAGTGCAGAGAACCGGAGACCCTTTTTACTGGAAACGAGGCATTCCATCTTAGTCCTCACGGGTGACAACGCATCTGCATTTTGATTCGTAATCGAGGATAGATGTAGATGTCTATGGGCCACAGCAGCCACTTACCATCAGGTGGACTGTGTGCTCGTTTGTCACCCTATCCTATATAAAAAAAAATATAAAGAAGCAACATGGATACATATTCTGCTGGTGTAATCAAGGCTTTATTTAGTCAGGCAACGTGAAGGTAAATCTGCTCAGTTTATTCAATCGCACAAGGATCTTGACCGTCTGATTCCACCCACTTCTACAGTCAAGAGTACATAATGATAACTATAATGATCTACATAATTATGAAAGACCAAGGATTGATGAAGTTTATTTAATGCAAGCTACCTTATATGACTTTATTATTGCTAAAAATGTATGTGTGTATAACTGTAAACCCTTTTGTTATCTTGATATTATTTTAAATTTCACTTTAACTTACACTTTCTTTACTAGAAACCAAGTATTTTAAGTATAAAAATGTTTCGGCTCATATTAGCCAACTTATACCGGTTTTTGGATAAAATTGGACTACGAAAATGATTGTGACTGAAAACCTGGCCCTTGAATTAAACTCAATGCAGGTTCAGTGTGAAATTATAAAAGATATATGTGATTGTAAACATGTCATCCCTCCGGAATTTACCTTTAAGCTTTTTTATCTCAATATCAGAAGCCTAGGAAAGAAGAGATATTATAATTCTGACCGAATGTTGGCTCTACGATGGTATAATAATTCCGCCAATACCTAGATATAACGCTTTTAAAACGCATAGACACTTAAATCAAAATGGAGTGAGTTGTCGTATACCTGAGTGATATATGGCGTGCCACAGTTTCGGAATTATGTCTTGATGAAGCCGATTGCCTATTTTTTCAAATACCCGAAATGTTAAATATTCTTGGAACATATCGTTCACCATCTTTTAAGAATCTGGAAAAATTTCTAGCATCCCTTGAAATGCACATTAATAAAATAAATAGTCTCCACTACATCGTTGCTGGTGACATAAACATAAATATAATGGAAAATATATGTACTCCACAAAGCTAGGAGTATCAGTGCTTTATGGTCGAACACGGATTCACTCCAGCCATAGTACATCCAACTAGGGAGTCAGCTTGCCTTGATCACATCTACGTTAGAAACTTGGACAGTTACCAAACACTGCATGGCATTGTATGCCAATGTGGCATTACATACCACTTCCCTGTTATGCTTGATTTAAACTCCAAAAAATTTAAGCCTCCAAGACCTACTCGTTTTACAGCTAAAAGAGATTTTAGTGCTATTTTATGAAATACAACCTTAAAACATCGACTGGTCTATTCTAAGCAATGTATCCAATGTAAATATAGCTAATGAAATATTCACAAAACACATTAAAGATGTCCTAAACAAATAAACCAAAGAAGTTCAAATTAGTAGAGCCAATTATAATATAAAACCTTGGATAACTCCAGGTTTAATTTCTTGTACGCACGTCCGTGATCGTCTGCATCTTCATGCTACGAGTGATCCGGAAAATAAAAACTTAAAAAAAATATGCCCGTTATCAAAATTTCTTTATAGATTTATTACGCAAGGTTAAAACTGAATATGAAAATAAAATTCTTATTGAAAACAAAAATAACCCGGAAAAGATGTGGCAGTCAATCAAAAATATCTGTCACCTTCAACATAATAAAAGTGAACCCAAAGAATTATTATGACTAGATGGTCTAAATGTGCAAGAATCAATTGACTTCACAAATAATTATTTTTCTTCTGCTGGTAAAAAACTCGCAGAAAATATTCTCTCTCATATGAAGCTACAGTTTATCTTCCAATGACCACAAACTACTGAAAAATCGCAGGGTATACAAACTATCTATACCTTCTGTCAACACGAAATTTGCGCAACTTTTTGACAACTTCATCAAAAGACGAAAGTCTTCAAAAACTATGATATCATAAATAAAAAATATGCATCTGCAAAATTAATAATAATGAAATAATGGTTAGTCACCCTGTCATATGAGGAAACACAAGAATTGTTAAAAACTGACTTTTGCTAATTGATTTTATTTGTGAAATTTTTAGGTAAATATTGTTGTTGTTTTAATTTTATTTTCTTTTTCTTTTTAAATGTAAATACATATATAGTTAATACATTCCAGTCCAGTTCCAGTTAAAGGTTTCTTTCTTTTTTTATGTTTTTAGATTTTGAGCATTAAGCAGTTCTTTTATTGCTGTTTTGTGTAGGTATATTATGTAGTATATTATTAGACAGATTGTCTGATAAGACGTATAAAATAATGCCTAGTGAACTTTGGTTTCAGGTTTCCTCGATACAGGCTTGCCTAGTGAGAAAACCAACAGATATTACCCATTGTATATATTTTTATGTTAATAAAACATTTTTCATTTTTCATTTTCAACAAAAAATGTTAGGGCATCAACACAGTTAAAAGATTGAAATGATATTAACCATAGAATAGGGTTAACATTTTGTATGGAAGTCCGTCATTTTTAGAGCTAGAAGCCTGAAATTTTGTTTTTAGGTAAAAGATTAGAAATAAACAATTACGTATCCTAAGGTTTTTGAAAATTCAACTTATAAGGGTGTGAAAAGGGGTTGAAAGTTTGTATGGGGAAACAACTTTGAACTATTTTATTCGAAATTTCACAGGAGTAATCCTATCAATAAATGAGTAAACAAGTGTAACAGGTTCTTTCAGAATTAAACCCCTTAAAAGGTGGAAAAGGAGTGAAAAATTCTGGAAATCAACATGGGTATCTTTTAATGGTTAATCGGGTCGCTGATTATGAAAACAACAATTATTTCAAAATCCAACGTAGCAGACGGGAAGTAGTAACCTACCATCATTCCCTGTGGTTGAAATGTCAATACGGGTGTCGTTTTACGGTTTTTTGGGACGTTAATTACAAAAATGGTATGGATTATGGTTTGAAACCAACATGGATGAAAGGATGGATAGATTTATGAAATTTTGTATGTAAAATCATCATGGGTTATGTGATTTGGGTGTCATTTTTAAGATTTTGGGTCGTAAATAACGTAAATGATATTGATAAATATTTTAAACATAATTTATTAGAGTAGATTAGAATATACTTTTATTTCACAAAAACATAAAACAAAATAGACAAGAATATTTCTACAAAAATTTATACATAATTACTACTGAACAGATAAATACTCATATGAAAATTAAAAAAACAATGAAAATAAACAACCAAACCAAATATATTTTTTACAAATTAATAAAATGGCAAAACAAAAGAAATACTTAAGTACCTACCTATTTTTATTGATCTTCAAGTTCCAATCCCCACCAGTAGATGGCGGTGGTATATTTTTAGAACGCGGTAACGTTGTGTTTTTTCAAACTTATATAAAGTGAATGATGTAGGTAAGGGTAAAAATATAATGATTTCTTATATTTACGCGAACACTATACATGATTAAAACTCTTTTTACGGATTTTATCGCGTTTATTTTTACTTTTTTATTTACTTTTATTTTTAATTCCCGACGTTTCGGGCGCTTTCCAGCACCCAGTCCCCCGTGACCATGGGTGCTGGAAAGCGCCCGAAACGTCGGGAATTAAAAATAAAAGTAAATAAAAAAGTAAAAATAAACGCGATAAAATCCGTAAAAGTAGTTTTAATCAAGGGTAAAAATATTTAAATGTGTCCACCCAGAATAGAGTTCTGAGTTAACATACATAAAAAATATACAGCCAAGTAAATACCTCCTCTTTTTAAATTCGGTAGAAAAGAGGCCTCCTATTTATAATAGAGTATGAATAGTTATTTTCAGAAGTCGACATGTAGAATTAAAAATCTTTAAATTAAACGTGATAAAATCCGTAAAAGTAGTTTTAATCAATATCATGTCTATTACTGCTAAACATATGTTTAAAATAAGTGTTAGAGGGCGTCTCTCCTTGAAAGAAAGAAATTATTCAATAAACCAGTTTAATTGAAAGTAACGAATTTTATGGAGATTAATTATAACTGTTTTATTTATACAT